TTTTTTTTTTATTAATTGTTTTTCCTAAAACTAGGCCCAGAATTTCATTAATTTTTTCTATTACAGCACATTTTACCGAAAACTACAAAAAATTATGTAAACGCATAATCTCTACGATTTTCTTAAAAATTAATTATTAACTTATAGATTTCAATCAGATGTTTAAGGATTAAGATGGAGCAACAGTAGGCCTACACATAATTTTAAAAAAATAAAATTAAATAGCTTTATTCTGAAATGATCAAGCCAATTCCGGCATTTAAAATAAAATTTTAAGAAGAAAGAAAAAGTTTTAGTGCCATTTTGGATTTCATACCTCTCGTCTCGGGTTGAATATATTGTTCGGTGGTAAGGGGGGAAGGGGGGGGGCATTCATAATTGACGTCATGCATATACGGTGTAGTGAGTACGAAAGTATAGCCTTGGGTTGTGAGTGTGTCTAAATTTTGTGACGAATTTGTAACAGCTGTTACAAAATCCGCATAACATAAGCACTCTTAAAGTTGGTCAAAATTGTCCCCATGTCGGTGTTCGATGGTGTACGACGTCTGAATTTTGCGCTTGAGAGAACTCTTTGTTCTCTGATTTCCTGTGTTTAAATTGCTCTAGTTTTAAAATGTTGTAAGACCATGAATCTATGTGTGCTGAGATGTATAAGTACATTGTAATTTAGAAAAAAAACATATGCGAATTATTTGGATCAATAAGATACTTGTATCTTTATCTTATAAGGTGGGGTTGTTTTTGTTGTTGTTTTTTTAATTTTTTTTTTTTTTGGGTGTGGGGGGGGACCGGGGGGGGGGATGTGAAATCGGTTAAAACAGCGCGAAAGCACGGAGTTGAGGATAATGTGCTTTTAGTGTTGAACAGTTCGGAAGATATAAGAACACAACAACAACTTTAAGGTCTCACAGATGCGAGACGGTGGGGGGGGGGGGGGGTCGGGGGGGGATGTGAAATCGGTCAAAGCAGCGCGAAAGCAGGGAGTTGAGGATAATGTGCTTTTAGTGTTGAACAGTTCGGAAGATATAAGAACACAACAACAACTTTAAGGTCTCACAGATGCGAGACGGAGGGGGTGGGGGGGAGTCCATCTGACTGAAAAGGGAGTCTGGGGTCTTCATCGGGCAAGCAAAAGGGGCTCTTGGCCTTCATCTGACAGGTTAAATTCGTCTGACAGGGAAAGAGGTCTATGGCCTCATCCTTCAGGCAAAATGGGCTCTTGGCCTTCATCTGACAGGTTAAACAGTGGTCCTTGGTCATCTCACGGTCAAACGGGGTCCTGACAGGGGCCAGTAGAATTAAAAAGATTAATAAACTCTGCACTATATTAAAGTAACTTCCGTTTCTTGGTTAGGTATGAATATAATAAGTGGTATAGTTTTAGTTTTTGTACTTTGCTTAAATATTGCATGGGATTCATACCTGAGAGTAAGATTTGCTCCAAATAAAATGTGTATCTGTTCTTTTGAACATGTTTATGTGTGTGTGTTTAGTTTTAATATTTTATACGCTTAATGGGCATTGCTCCAATGTGCCTGGGGCAAAAGGCACAAATAACTATTGGGCATTGCTCCAATGTGCCTGGGGCAAAAGGCACAAATAACTATTGGGCATTGCTCCAATGTGCCTGGGGCAAAAGGCACAAATAACTACTGGGCATTGCTCCAATGTGCCTGGGGCAAAAGGCACAAATAACTACTGGGCATTGCTCCAATGTGCCTGGGGCAAAAGGCACACATAACTATTTTGATATTACATGACTACATGAGCGTGAAGAAAATATTCTCTAATATTCTAGAGCAGCGACTCAAACTTGTGTTGAAATTCTCAATTTATTACAAAGTATGCACATTGCTTGACATGAATTTTTCAAACACTTTAATTAAGTGGTATGCCTACGAAATTCCAAAAATTTTATATCCTGAATTTTGAAAATTTTGATTAAATTGGTTGTACAAATTGGTTGAAATTGTTTAAGGAAATTAATTTTTATCACCTTTGATTGTATAAATGAAATCATGCTAAAATAGTTTGCAGCACCGAATACAATCAAGGAAAAAAAAATGATGGAGAATCTAATCACAATGGAAACTTTAATGCATGGAAAAAATGAAAAAGATTTGAAAAATTTTAAGACTAACAAGAAACTGTGATGAAATTAATTTCACCAAAATTTACTTTTAATCTACACATACATACGAAGACTATTATGACAACTGATGATACGCACTTGTTTCCAAATAAAGATTTTTAAAATGTATTTCTTGCTGGAGTTCCTTTATAAATTACTCTTTTTTTTTTTTTGGAAGGGGTGTGGGGTGGGTGGCTCTTCAAATAATTTTGACAAACTGTGACGAAATGGAATAAAATTGCATGAAATCGACATTCAATAATAATTCGGATTGAAATCTTGCTTTGTAGAATTAATTAATTTTGCTGTGTTTCGTTTCATTTTAATGATGCTGATTTGTTATATATATAGGGCCTATATCTTTAAATTTGACAAATTATGCTTGCTTGTTTGTTATTTGTTTAATCTATCTCTTATATATATATATTGCTTCTGGTATTTCCTGCTTCCTTTTCACAACCACCACTCTCCCTACTCCACATGTTTTATATTAATAGTACTGAGTGAGAAAAAAAATGTCATGCAGCGAGCTTTCGTGCGTGACGTCTACGCTGAGGTAAAAAGATTATACTTTTTTTTTTCTTTCGGCGAAGACGATTATTATATTCATCAATAAAGAACCTCGGGTATGATGTAGGACTGTCTGTGGACAGTTAGTATTGTTTAATGGCCGACAGGTAAGGTTTAGGACTGTCTGTAGGTCTATTGTTATAAAGGATGGTATATATTATAGAAAATGAGAAGTTACCTCTTTTTTTGTAAAACTTGGACCCACCGAGTATTTTCTCAAAATATCCGGACCCGTTGTAAAAAACTGCACCCGGTTAGGCCCTAGTTATTATATATTTTGATTGCTGATAGTTCAAATATTTAAAATCGAATGTGGTAAATAGATTTTCCCTAATATTTGGATTATCAAGTATATTGACCGCGTTGATATTCATTGGTTCGACTATTCGATACGATTTTCTTTTTAAATTATTTTATAAGAATGACAAGTTTGAATGTTGTTGTCTTAAATAGAGTTTTGCATTATAGTTATACCCAGGCTTAACGAGAGGGGTGCAGGTACAGTGTCCCGGGGCACATGGAGCTCAAAGGAGGCCCCATGAAAATGAAAATGTAATTATTTTATTTTTTTAAATATTTTTTTTAATACAAAACCAAATGTTATGAGTGCTTATGAAATCCGGAACTCAAAAAAGCGCAAGAAATTAAACAACACCTAAAAACATAGTTTTTCTTACAAAGCCTTTACAAAATGTAATATCGAACAACAAGGGGCGGGGCTGAAAATTTGACAAAACATGCATCCAAGTAACGCATTTAACAAAAATCCAAATTAGTGCCGCCGCACCCCACCCCCAACCCTAAAGGCTCAAAACCGCACATTTTTTCACGCACCTGAACTAAATTAATGTTATAATGACCCACCCACTTTCACACCACAGATTTAATTCACCAACTATTTTATAAAAACAAAAGAAAATATTAAGCACCAAACGCCATTGTGGTTCTTTTTTTTTTTCTCTTTTTTTTTAAAAAAAAAGAACCTCATTTAGCGCAGTTATCGGGAATTTTCCTTCATCTTCCCCTTGAAAAACAGGAGCACTGATTTTTTGGGGGGTTGGGGAGTGGTGCTGAAAATTTGGCAGAAAGCGGTGTGATCAGCAACGAGTCTATGTACCAAGTTTCAGTTCTACCGGTTGACGGAGAGTGGGTCAATTAGTGGCGAACAAAGGCGAAATATAGACTAATAAAAAGTGGGGACCAACGCTTCTTCGATTTGGCGTTAAAGCAAGAAAGAAATATGCAAACAACTTTAATATAAAAGGTTTTCTATCAAGGATGAGTTGAAACACACTATTAAGTAGAAAATAATTTACAATTTCTTAAAATTCAGTACGAAAAGACATTGGCTACTTTGCAGTAGAGTAGATGAGAACACTGTGAAGCCAAAGGATTCGAATAAATATAGACAAAACGTAACTATATTTTATTTTTAGCTTTTAAATATTTCTGCACAAAACTGAAACAAAGGTCAGAATCTCAGATAAATTTGAAACAAGTGTCAGAATCTCTTAAGGCCAGTTTGCAATTTCAAGAAATAACTTATCAAAATTTAGAGAAAGAATTGAATGTTGGTGATGAGAGTACTTCACTTCACTGTCTACAGAATTTGGGCATGGCAGACATAGTGAAGAGAAGAGTAGGTCATATACTGAAGTTGATGTAGGACGTCGTGTTATTTTTTTTTTTTTAATATTTAAATAAATTAGAATTCCACGGACACCAGCAGATTTTTTTTCCTTTGGGGGGGCACAATTAATTAATTTAGTTTTTCTTCCCAGTACTAGTTGTGCATTATTCATTTTCAGGGGGGGGGGGGCGGGGGGCAGTTACGTAGCAACGTATTTTTTATGAATTAAATTTAGATAGTTAAACATTTATCATATAGCACAAGCCTGCGCAACCATAAACATATGGGGGCAGGGGGCAGTTACGTAGCAACGTATTTCTTATGAATTAAATTTAGATAGTTCAACATTTATCATATAGCACAAGCCTGCGCAACCATAGACATAGAGATATATTTATAGCTCTGTGTGCGCAACATGCGGCCCGCAAGCACCAACTTTGCGGTCCGCGAAGTAACGTAATATTCTTTATTATTATTTCTTTCCGAATAGCTCTCCCCCCTGTCTCGTTTTCTTTCGGCCCAGACAAGTTTTCATCAAGTATTACGGTTCACCTTACATTTAGATCTGGAGTTGTGCAAACTGATGTCGCAGGATCTATTTGATTTTGTTTCGTTTCAGCGTTCAAAATGTTAGAGTTTTCTAAATACACATTCAAGGGAAAGAAAAACCTTTCAGCTTATGACCTTTGACCCTGCAATGGACTTTGCAGTTTTCACAACAAGTCAATAAGTATCAACAAATTTACATTAAAAAAGTGATGCCAACAAAAAAGCCAACTAAATAATATCAAGGCCAAGGTGTAAACGCAAAATTTGAGGTAAGGTTATTTAGCTCTTTATTGCATTTAACCACTTTGGCTTTAAATCCCCCTGCTAGTAATAGTTAACTAGTAATAAATAAATAGTAATATTCCTCGGCCTTTTGGAATTAAACAAAATAAACTACAAATAAGTTATTTTTAATTATAATAAATAGTATAACGTTTTGGTTTTAGTCGCTTGGAACTTTCACTTTTGGAACTTTCACTTTGTTATTAAGTTTGTAGTTTGCGTACTATTGACACTGCCTGGACTGTTACTTTGACTTTTAAAAATTGATCTAAGAAGGTAGTGGGGATCTCAAAGAGAGGAACCAAGGAGACAGGAGATGCTATGAAAAACATAGTTTAAGTACAATGACCAGATTTTTCTAGGATAACATGCCCCCATCTCCCCAAGCTCACGCCAAAAAAAATGGTTGGTGAAAGTTGACTGAAAGACACACCTTCCTGTTCCTGAAGGGTTAAAAACAAATTCATTAGTGTACATTATATAGTATACTCAGTTTTTACTGTTTATTATGGACAAAACCTTTTTGATAACCAACATATGTTTCAATGTATTGACTTTGAGTTGTGATTTATCTGGTGTCCCCATGTTGTTTATCAGAGAAAAGAATTTTTCACTTTGAGCGTTTAAGTTTATCCCTTCTAGGGAAAAGTACACAGTTTGCAGTAAATGCCAGACGTCGGGACATAACTTGACCTTTTGGGAATGCCGGGATGGGTGGTGCAAAAATAAGGACTGTCCTGGGTAAACTGGGATGTCTGTTCATCATAGATAAGGTGTTCCTTGACCGGGTGCCTAAGCGCAATTTAATAGTATTATTAGTGATTACTGGTGTTGTTTTATATTATTTATAATTTTTTATTTGAATTATTTATTTCTTTAAAATACTTCTTTCATAATCATAAATGATTTTAGAATATCAGTCCAAAAAGAGATGTAGTGTCACACTGAAGTCATCAAAGATAACATCCTGACAATTGCAACTCTTTGATGACTACAATGCTAGCTTGTTGTTTTTTTAAACCTTATTACTGCTTTTTAACACCATATGGTATTTCTTTCAACTGGCCTGATTATAAATGGAATTTGTAGTACTGGTACCAGTATTTAGCACCAACAAATTTTTTTAGGGTTTCAGAGTCAAAAATTAGTAAGTAGTAATCAGTGCAGAAAATAAATTTATGCATTGCGCTGTTAAATAAATTTTTATTATAAAAGTTTATTTTATAAGTTCAGAGGTTTTATGATGGTTTCTACATTTTATGATAGGTTAGTGATGATATGATGGTAGAGAGTGGGATAAAACATCTGCCAAAATACTGTGGCATCATTTATTTTATTATTGGCCCCTAATGAAAGTAAAATCACCAGCTAAAAGATTTTTTACTAGCATAAGCCTAAATTATTATTTATTTTAAGCTAGAAAGTTAATCTTAAATTATACTACAGTGAATTTATATACCTTCTGGTTGTGACTTGTGTCAAGCATTTTGCTCATTTATGATTGATTTTATTTTACGACTTTTTTCTTTATTTTTGGAATGATTTGATTTTATTAAAATTATTATTTAGCATTGCAGCGTTTAAATTTCATTACTTCATGTTAATTGTATACATTATTTTATTTTCAGTCTCAGATTCAAACATATTCAATGGCCTTAAGTAAGCGTGCATACATCATAGGAGTGGGAGTGACCAAATTTGTTAAACCTCTGTCTAAAGAATGGGACTATCCAGACATGGCACGAGAAGCAGGTTAAAGTAGTACAGTTATAAATCTTTTGACTATTTGCCAAATTATTGTATATAAGAATTTCCGGGAAGGGTGGGGGTGGGGGGGGGGGGGGGGGGGGGGGGGGGGGGGGGGGGGGGGGGGGGGTGGGCTGAAAGAAATGAAAGTCATCTTATTAAGAGGGTTGTGAGTTTGTGCTGTTAATTTTCATTTTATGTTTCTTGGCAGTATTCTTTTAGAAAATATTTATTTTATCAACACTTTAGAAGGGTCTTGAATTTATTATAACATTATTTATAGGGCTAAATTTGTATTTGTCATGTGTAAAAATATAAGCCTAATAGTATTAGTAATTCTAATAGATTTAAACCTAGTCCTCTTTAGCACATTGCTATTTTATAAAATATTAATATACTGTTTTAAAAGTATAATTCCCTGTACTAATTTTTGCTTTTCCAATTTTTTTTTTATCTACCGGAACAAAAATAAATACTGAAAACCAAAATTAGTGTCATTTTTTTTCCAAATATTTAGGACAGCTGGCACTAGCAGACTCAAGAAGAGATTACAAGGACATCAAAGCAGTCATTGCTAGCTATTGCTATGGTGATCCCACCAGTGGACAGAGAGCAGTTTATGAACTGGGGTTGACGGGTGTGCCAGTGTTCAATGTCAACAACAACTGTTCATCTGGTTCATCTGCTCTAATGCTGGCGAGGAGACTGGTTATGAGTGGCATTGAAGACTGTGTCATGGCTTTAGGTGAGTGCATTATGCTAGTGTAACTGAAATGTTTATTTGAAGAGATGTGAACATTTGGGGGTGGACATTAGACAGTTTTGATCCTTGTCCCGAATTTCATTTATAAAACCTTATTACTTTGAGTAGGACCAACAGCAGAAGTTTTTGCCCCCCACACGGTTCAATCTTTGTTGTATATTAAATTATAATTTTATATCTTCTTGTGAAAAGGCCATAATAATAATTTTCAGTAAAAAGAATAATAAAGAGTTTCCTTAAATTTATTTCATTTGAAGTTATTTTTCAAAGGATTATATTATGAATAGTAAAACTAGATTCGTGGAGATTATTTATTAAGACTTCATCTAACTGTTGCTGGAACTAAGTTCAAGGCCCACCACACAAGAGTCCTGATTTACCTGAAGACCATCGGACTACCCTTAAAATAGAATGCTGGCAAAAACAAATACTATCAACAACAAAATTCCTATCTTTAAATTATGAAATTTTTCTTTGACGCACCAATAGGTAAATGTAGTAGATATTTCATTTGTTAATTGAATAAGTTCCTGGGTTAATTCATTTTTATTGCATTCATTTTTATGTGTATTAAAACTTAATTGTTTTAACAAAATTAAATAATAAAATGCCTATGAATTTATTAAAGCTTTCTTTCAGAATGTATTGTGAAATTAAAGCTAATTTCAATTTTTTTTACCATTAGTATACCACATAATTGTTTGTCATATAGGTTTTGAGAAAATGGAAGGAGGATTGTCAGAAAAATACACTGATCGGGTCTCTCCTGTATCCAGGCATATGGATCATATGGTCAGTCTGGGTGCAGATAAAGGTCTCATCAACCCTAGTATGAATAACATGACCTCGGACGTCATCAAGCTGTTCGCCTATGCAGCAAGAGAGTACATCGAAAAATATCCTAATGGAACAAAGGAAGCATTGGTACAAATTGCCTACAAAAACAGAAAGCAAGGAATTAACAATCCTCGGGCTTCATTTCAGGTACTTTTTTTTAGAAATAATACATGTTGTTTATTTCAAAAATTGTTTTTAAAAATGTTTTTAAAAATGAAATTTTTATTTCATAAGTTGAACTGTTGCAAGGTTATACATTTTTTAAAGCTATTTTTTTTTTAAATTTAATTTAATAAAACAACTATTTAAACATATTAAGTTAAGGAAAATTAATCAAAAGAATTTATTGCTTTAAAAATAACTAAATAACAAGAGCCTAGAAATAGCATGTAACTCAGATTCTACAAATAGATGACAAAGAAAACAACTGTAAATAGAATTTGAAGAACTTTTAAAGTGTTTGAGTTACCAGATACTCATTTATTTTTTTTTACAAAGAATTTATTGAGCATGGAAACAATAGCCACTAAAGCAATGCTGTGTCCACCCATCACATTTGGAATGACTGCTGCTACCGCTGATGGAAGTGCTGCTGCCATTGTCTGCAGTGAAGATTATGTCATCAAGAATAACCTCCAGGACAAAGCTGTGGAGATTTTGGCCCAGAATATGGTAAGAGAGGATAAGCTTAAAAAATAAAATGTTGCACATTAAAAGGGATAAAATGGGGGCGGTTGGATATTTGGTGTTATAATTAATTATTGAATTGTAACTCTTTTTATAATTACTAGTCTAATATAATGGATTGTTGCATTTTTCAGGAGTAAATGACACAAACCCTCATTTTGTTCAAGTAGGGGGAAGCTTTATTTAAAATAAAGACAAAACAATGGGTAACAGCCCACTTTCTTGATTTTTTTTGTTTTTAAAGTTAAAAGCATTCGATGAGCAATTGTGTCTCTTAATGTACTTAGCTTTATTTAAGTTTAAGTACTGATTTCTTATAATTAGTTCTGTTTGGGTTTTTTATAGTTTTGTTATAACAAAATTAAAACTGAATCACTCAAATAGAAATTTATAGCAGTTCTGTGAAGTCAGACAAAAATATCTTTTGAAGTTAATATTTTTATTTTTCAATAAAAGAACAAATAATAACTTTCAGGGGAGTACTTTATTCTTTAGGTTTTTCTTATTACAGAATTAAGTATTTTTTCTTCAGTATATGTTTCAAGAACTCACCTGTCATTGATTTAAGTTTAAGCCATTAAACAATCAATTTTGTCTCAATACTGTCTCACAACTCCTATTCTCAGAAATATTTTTTTTCTAAATGCCTGGAAGATGGCTTTGTTTGTGCTAATTATGAGATGATTGTTATGACAGGTGACAGATCTCCCATCATCATTTGGACAGTCCTACATGGATCTATCGGGATACTCCATGGCTAAGCTAGCAGCTGAAAAATGCCTGGCAGAAACAAGACTTACACCTAATGACGTTGATGTTCTTGAGGTAAATATATATTTAATTTGGGCACCACAACCTAAATACTAACATTATTACGAGTAATACTCAGACAAGCTTACAGATGTTTTTAGGGTGGAAAAAATACTATTTATTCATTTTTTATCATACATAAGGTTCATGATTGTTTTTCCTGCAATGAACTGTTCATGTATGAGGCTCTAGGCCTGTGTCCAGTTGGGGAAGGTGTCAGTTTGGTCACAGAATCTGAGTGGAGGAAGAACAAAGAGGGTGGAGAACTATTGTACTTGGGCAAAAAATGGGTTGTAAACCCTTCTGGTGGACTGGAATCAAAGGGTCATCCTATTGGTGCAACAGGTAGGAGATAAAATTAAGGCTGTACATTTTACAATGCTACAGAAAACCATTACAATGGAGTTGTGTACCATAGATTAAAGAACAAGCACGAAAATCTGTTCAGCTGAAATTAAGACATCTTGAGAAATTTTAATGAGAACCTGGTAATTATTTTAAAAGATTTTTAGCTGAAATGAATTATTCATCATTAACTAACTTATTTTTCTACCAAAGATGTAACTTGTTTGATGGGTTCATGTACTACTCAGAATAATTTATTCCTGTCTTCATAAAATATTTTCAACGTTATCCAGGTTTGGCCCAATGTGCAGAATTGATTTGGCAGCTCCGTGGTGAAGCAGGCAAGAGGCAAGTGGAAGGGGCGAAAATTGCAATGCAGCACAATTTTGGAATAGGTGGCGCTGCAGTTGTTACAATGTATGGCAATGCTGGAATGAAAAATTTAGCAAAAATGTAATTGCTGGTGGGGGGTGGGGGGTGTTGTTGTATCGAATGTTTGATAAATTACCAAATCAGAATCCATTATTACCATTTTTGGATCCAAACAAAAATAATAAATATAAATGTCTTGAAAAATCCAGTGGGGTTTCAGGGCTTTTATGCGTGATTAAAATATTGCTAAATTGTTTCCTTGAATGTGCTCAACTAATGTACCATACCCTTTTGTTTTGTGTATTTAAATCATGTTTTATGCTGTAATTTTTATTATTCTTTACAATACTTTCAACGAGTAACAATTGTAAATACCTTATGCTCTTTTAAGACAATATGTTCTGTAGTTGGACTACACATTATGATTTGGAATGTAAATGTCCTGTACACTTCTACTGTTAGATGAATTGATACTAGGGTGATAGAAATGTGCCATTATTGTGACAAGAAAACTTGGACAAGTGGTTGTAGTATTTACACACAATCTAAAACATTAAACATAAACATACCGTTACACTCCAATTTTTACAGCCTTATTTTTCCCAAAGCCTGATTAAAATATTTCCCTAACTTAGACCAACAAACCAATCCCTATATATCATTGTTAATATCATCAAATGTATTCAAAAGATTTCTTCAAATTTAAATAGCATTAAAATACAACAATGTTCACCAAGGACATTTTTAGTAGTTTGTTGATGTATGCAATACTGTTGGTTTTATTGCTTATATTATTAAATGCTTTTATCTATCCAATGTGCCATTGATAAATTCCTAAGTCAGCTGATTTCTATGCTTACCATTGATTTTTTAAAAATTATTATTGGTATTTGATAATTGTTTCGATTTGTGTGGGATCTGATGTTTCTGAAGTTTGAATATACACTTAAATAAATTGACTGTGATATGAATTTTGATTTTCATAATATGTATAAATAAGCATTTTTTTTTATACAAGCCAATGATGTTTTGCCTTTAAATTTATTTTATTCGCACATCTGGTTGGTTAATTATTTTTTTTAATGTTAAATATGTATGACTTTTAACCTATCAACAAAATGAGTCTTCTGCAAAAAGTGGAATCAAGTTTAGCTTTTTCATTTTTTAATTTGTTGTTTTTTCCGCAGACGTAATTGCCTAAACAATAATTTCTTCATTCATAATTTGAGTATGTATCTATTCTCTCTTTATTTATTTTATCTATTATGAAAAGTTTAGGTAATTTTTTTTTTTTAAATTGTTTAATTCACCTTAAGTGTTGGAACATTTGGGATTATGGTTAACTAGAATCACCTGGTCTGATTTCATAAGTGTTGGTTAAACACTATCTTTATATACTTTTATCAATTATTTAAATTAAGAAATATCTTGATTAAAATAAAAATAATATTATTACTTCAAGCTGGGTGATTTTCTTTTGTCGAATATGAAAGATGAAAGAAACTTTTTTATTTAACTGATGTCTTGATACAGATGAAGATCATGTGAATATGTATGTATGTGTTGATAAACACATTTCTCCAATTACAAAAGTTTTTGATTTTGTTAAATATGTTCCAACTCCTGTAACCTTATGGCATCATACACCTCACTATCCAGTTGTAAGCCAGTCTGGCTGACTGTGCTGTCAAAATATGTCTATTCCCAAAATTGTGGATTGGAGTTGAATCCACAGCAAAAAGATAATCTAAGAGAAGGCAGCCTCTGAATTCAAACCTGGAAGAGTCCCGTAGACGGTATGATATTGACACAATGAAAATTCTGGAAACTCTTGCGATGTGGAAAGCATAAATAGCACAGCGAGACGCAAGAAACACTGCTGATAGTCTACTGCATCCAGGTCTATTTCCAGTTGTCTTTCCAGAGAATGAGGCTGATAAAATGCGCAACTCTCCCTCACTTTAAAAAAATACAGCTCAAGTCAAAGCTTGAGTATAACTACTAACTACTCAAGTCAAGGCTAACTACTCGAGTAAGGCTTACTACTCAAGTCAAGGCTTACAACAGAAGACAATAGGTCAGGGGGTAAATTTATTTAAGAACTGTAACTTGTACTTAGAATCGCCCATTGTTATGAAAGGATAGTTTTGTTTATCAGAATTTATATAAATATAGCTTCCTGTCAAAAAAGTTACCCAACACTTCATTCCGCGTTGAAACATGGTCAAAACGGTGTTGTTTATGACCTAATAATAAGGTAACCTAATTGCTGACGCATCAACCTTCAAATTTTAATATCAATGAAACACACATTTTGATTGGTTAAATGTGGGGAAAATGTACGTGTCATCTGTTATCCTTTTGTGTGTTTCGGTTGGACCGATCAGTGTGTGCTCTGTAATTACGTTACTTTTCAATTTGGTGTCACCCCTTGAGATGGTGTGGACCGGTGCGGTCCGCACCCCACTAGCTACGCCACTAAATACAATTTTCTGGTCTTCCACACCTCAGGGCTGGGAAGGCACTCGTATATCCCTGGTTAAGAACCACTGTTCTAATGAAATGTTTCTGACACGGGTGCAGTATTTGGGGGGGGGGGGGGGTTTG